TGGTCAATCACAGCTGTTGGCACCATAATACATCCTGAAGTGTCGAAAGAATTTTATTTTATTTATTATTTATTTATTGATTTTTTTTTATCCTAAAGGGGTGTTTCGTACATAAAAGTTTACTTTTGAAACATGAAAACTCTTATGTAGCGAAGGAATCATATTTTTTTAAGGTCTACTTCTGTATGGAGCACTGTTTTTTTAAAAATAAAAACAAAAATATTAAAGAACTCCGGATTATTTACCTAACGTATTCTTTCCTGTTTTTCTACATATATATATATATATATATATATATATATATATATATATATATATATATATATATATATATATATATATTACATGAATCATTTATACAAAAAAACATATAGAAGTTAATGATATAAATGGCGAGAATACATCTTCGCAAACAAATTTAGTAAAGTACATTAACCCCGAACCTGTAGATGAATGTTATGATCCCTGTTTATAAATTCCAGTTGCATAAAGTCTTTTTTAGTTTTTACAAGCTTTCATCTGTTCATACAGACATCATCAGGCATGGAAATAGATTTGTTTTTGTTTTTTAATTCTCGTTAATAACAGGACAACGAAAATATACATGTAATCCGAAATATGTTTTAAGAAATGTGTTATTGTTAATTGTAAGAAATTTTTTGCAGCGTGCAGTCGCAATGCTGAGGTTGAATTTTTAAATTTTAAGATTGTGCGTTTTTGTACTAATATGGTAATAGGAGAATTCTTTTGTATTGGTAGGTTTTTCAGTCAATGTGACATGAACTAAATTGTTCAATAAATACAGGAATGTCACAGTTATTATCCGAAAGATGCACATTGGATCAGTTATTTTAATATCAAGTATGTGGTGCAGTTCAATTTACATTACATGAATCATTCATACAAAAAACAGATATAGAATTTAATGATATAAATGGCGAGAATACATCTTCGCAAACAAATTTAATAAAGTACATTAACCCCGAACCTATAGATTAATGAACCGCACCACATACTTTATATATATATATATATATATATATATCGATACGGAAAGCAGAAACTTATTGGATGAAATAATGCTTAGAAGAGAAAAAGAGAATGAAAAAATATGAAATTGTATTTGTAAAAATGTCATGAAAAAAAGAAAAAGTAATCACCGTATATTATATCTCCAAGCCGAACGCAGAAACACATTGGATGAAACAGTGCATAAAAAGGAGAAAGGAATGAAGAATATATGAAAGAAATTCTGTTTATAGAAATGGCATGAAAGAAAGAAAAATTGGTCACAAGCGAATAATTTATATTCCCGCCGAAACACATTCGATGAAATAAAGTTGAAAAAGGATGAAAGTTATGAAAAATATATGAACAAAATACTAATTGTATGAATAGTGTGAAAAAAAGATAAAAAGTCACAATAGTATATTTTATATTAACTCCGAAAGCAGAAACTCATACAATGAAATAATGCTTAAAGAGGAAGGAAGCAATGAAAAGTATATGATGGAAATTTTATTTGTAGTAATGGCATGAAAAAAAAGGAACTAGGAACCAGCGAATAATTTATCCCCATGCTGAAAACAAAAAAACATTCGCTGAAATGAAGAAAGGAATGAAAAATGTCTGAAAGATATTCTGTTTTTAGAAATATTCCGAAAAAAAGAAAAAGAATTTAACAGCGAATATCATATCTTCACGCCGAATGTAGAAACACATTCGCTGAATTAATCCTTAAAGAAGAAAGGAATGAAAAATATATGAAAGAAATTTCATTTGGGGAAATATTATTAAGAAAGAAGGAAATAATCACCATTCGAATATTTTATCTCCTTGCCGAAAGCAAAAAAAAAATCTAATTTGAATCAAATATATTCATAGATAAATAAGATTGCTTTTATACGTCGAAATTTCTATTTCTCGTTGGAAAGGAAATTAATGTGCTTCACTTTTACTTGTATCATTCCAAAACCTCATTTTCATTTACATCATCTTCTCTTGCCTTTGTCTTTTTGCCTTTGTAACTGTTGTTATTGTAGCTGCTGTTTTTTCTTGTTTTGTCATTTATCTTCCATGAAGTTTTATACGCAAGTATTATCGTTTCAATGTTTCTCTGAATTTTCAAAGAGATTTATCAACTGTGACACATTACATATTTACATATGCGTTGCTGTATGCATTAATATATCCATGAGTAAATATTGATATAGATATGTTATTTTTTTTTTATATTTACATAGATTTTTCTTCAAAGTTTTATGCAGATGAAACAAATAAATATAAATATATGTGTGTGCATGCTTGCGTGCGTGTATAATAACATTTAATGATTAGTAGAGATAATTCCAAGTAAGATATAAATCCAAAAAAAGCACAGTTTAAGAATAGAGCAATATAATAATGATTACAGAATCCTTAAATGTCCATTTGGTCAGGTTGTAATTTATTTTGTGGACTTCATCTCTTCAGACCACTTTTACATATGTTAAACTGGTCTGAAGAGATGGCCATATGACGTCCACGAAATAAATTATGACCTGACCTAGTTGAATTTTAAGGATTCTTTATCAATTAGATAGATAGATAGATAGATAGATAGATAAACCTAGTGAGCCAGACAAACCTACCCAGGTTTCACCTAAGCGGATCGTCAGGGAAAGCTGGCTCTGGGTAGGTTTGTCTGGCTCACAAGGTTTATCTAGGTCTGCTCTACGGTTGTATTGAGCGCTTTTGTTAGTTAGTTGTTTACTCGTATCGGGGTTTTTCCTTTGGAGTTCAAACCTGCATCTGTGCGATTTCTTTTGACAGACTTTCACGTTTCTAGCTCTTTCTTTTTTAAAACCTTTTTTTCCCTTGAGATTGATTTGATTATTGGCAAATCAAAAATTCGAGGGTTTTCGAAACGAGTATAGTTACTTATATT